GCGTACGCCCGTGAAATATATAGACAGTCGATCCTCGACGCTCCGACCCCAGGCCTCCCAAAGGTGAAGGCGATGGAGTCAGGATGAAAACTTTGCCAGACATCCACCAGATCAAAAGACTTGACCAAATCCCCCAACCTCCTGCCTGATGCCAAACCAGGCACCGCCGTGGTCCCTGTCCTCAAGGATGCAGTTAAAATGCCCCCACACCCCACTGAGGACAACGCACTGGCCTTTGTCGATGGTGGCGAAATGAGTGGACACTTCTCCGTAGAAGCGCGTTTGCTTCGGCCTGACCAAGTGAGCATAGACGTTCACAAAGTGAAACACCGTGCCTCCCAGTCGCACCGTCAGGTGAAGCAAACGGCCTGGCACAGGCTTCTTGACCCCCAACATCTCCGGCTGAAAACGTTGGGCCAACAAGATAGCCATCTCGCCGGATTTATGGGTGAGGTGACTCATGCAGACCCCTCCTTGCCACTTCAGGAGCCAGGTGGTTTTGTCTCCTGAAGTGGTACGGGTTTCTTGCAGGAAGCATATCACGTACTTCCCATCCCAAAGGACTGAGAAGTTCTGGAGTCTGTGTTGTGACTCCCTGCTGCCATTCATGTTGAGGCTGACTATGGAAGTCTACATTGTCAGTAGTAGTGTGTAACCACAACTAGTGAAACTGTTGTTAAAAACATTTACTGGGAGGATGGGGGTGGGGCAAACAGGTCCCTTCCCCTCCCCGTGAGTACAAGGAACGCTCTAAACTGCCACCTTTCATTCTGGTCTAGCTCGGGTGCATGACGAGCAGCGTGGTTGGACCGGAAGACCAGCTCAAAATCTTCCCAACAGTCGAGAGCCAGCCATCCTCTATCATGGCAACCACACGTACCCTCTATAAAGTCCCAGAGCTTGGTGTGAGGCACTAGGAAGTCTAAAACCTCACTGGAGACAGAATCCGTGTTGTCCCCAGCACCCACCACCGAGCCAGAACCCTCCTCCAGGTGATCATCCTTGTCGGCTAGCACGTCACTCATGGCTAGTGTGGGGGCTGGTCCTGAGCCGCCAGCTGGTTCCAATCCTCTTAGGATCACTGGCAGGAACGTCCTCGGTGCGCTCCATTGAGGTCCGCTCTAGGTCTGGGTCATCAGGCAGCAGATACTCGACCCCACTCCTCTCCCAACACCGGGACGCCCAGGTCCTCGGGGAAATGGTACTTCCCCAGAGCTAGAGGGCCCAGGAAAACAGTCTGGGAGGGAGGAAAACACCTACCTGCTCTCTACCGCTCAAGACCCAGCGGGGCTTTCAGTTACAGTGCCTGCACAGTGGCCTGCATGGCTCTCTGGCTCATCACTGGGGGCCAGTGGAGGTGCAGCAGTGGGAGGGGCATTGGCCTGGTCAGGCAGTAGTACAGGAGAGGCAGGAGACGCCGCAGGCTCACCCCCAGGGAGGAATGACGATTTACCCATGTGACAGGGAAAGTCCTCCCCCTGCAGGGAGTAGCACATCTTGTGATGGTTGTTGTAATGGCCTCCCCTCCCCCACCTGTCCTGGTGGTCAGGGGGTTTGAAGGCCCTCCCTCCAGCCTTTCCGGGAACACTATTGGCTGTGGGAAGGCAGGGGGCATAGTGAGGGCAGGAAATGCCAGTTGCATCACTTCCTGCCCTGGCGCATGGCTGTCAAATGATAGTCGGCATGGCAGGGGCCTAGCTTCTGGGTTGGAATCCCCAGTCTCGGCACTGCAGGATGGGGTCCGGCAACAGAGCCCCCAAGGTCCGATTTTGTTTGGCAGGGGCCCAGTAACACTGGACGGGGTCAGGCTTGGAACCCCCAAGGTCTGGTGTTGTGAGGTGGTGGTTGGACTCGGAGCCCAAGGGGATGCAGCCATGGGGGAGGCCCCAAGGCTCTTAGTTCTCCCCCATGCCGCCTTACTGGCTGGATGCCCAACACCTCCCCACCAGAGGCCACGGTGACGGTGACCTCTGGCTTGGGCCCCACTTGTGGGGCTCCCAGTGTTGCTTTGGAGGCAGGGGGAGTGGGTGCAGCAGTGCCACCTGGTGTGGTCCAGTCAGCCTTCAGGGTGGCGCAGTCCTTTCTTACATGCCCCTACCTCTCAGCAGAGATGGCACTATATGTCGTCCGCCATCCAGAAGACATGGTAGGTTGCGCCATCGTGGATCACGGCAAATGAGCCCTCAGTCACGTCCTCCCAGGCCAAACAAATAAAGACCAGGCTCTGGAAGGAGTAGACATGTTTAAGGGCAGGGACCTTCCGTCCGAGCAAGAGCAATGTAACACCTGACCGGATTTCCCCCAGTGATTGTAGGTGGGGGCGGAGGAGCTCACTGGCAATAAAGGGCAGGACGTTGGAAATCACGATCCTCTGGGCCATGACTTCCAGAGGGTCAACAGGAAAATATGTCCTGCCCACGGTGAGCCCCTTTCACATGGCCAGGTGTACTGCCTGCTTGGACTGCAGGAAAAATATGGCCTTCCCATGCATCTTGGCCACAGCAATAATGGCTAGCGGGCTGACCACACTAGCCATGGCCTTGCTCGTCATGTTTGGCTGCGAGTAGGCGATAATGCCTAGACCCTTGGTAAGGAGCCTAAAGGGGAATGGGGTTGCGGCCGGGGCTGAGGCAGCTGAACCTAAGGCTGTGGACATGCCGGCATAAATGTGGCTGAGGCCCAATGTTTTGGGGCTGCCAGATGCTCCGGGGGTCTTCTGGTGGGTGCTCCCTTAACAACTACAGCAATCTCCGTTCTGAATAGGCCCAAGCAGTAGCAACGGTCCCAGTTCTTAGAGCGCCTAGGCGACAGCAGTGACAGCAGAATTGGCCCAGGCTGCAGCAACAGTTAAAATAGAAGGCTAATACAGCCAAAAGGAGACTTGAGCTCACAGCACAATCCTCCACCAAGCTTCTTCCTCCACAGAAAACTGACTATGGCCAGCCAGCTCAGAGTCAATCACCTGAACTGAGGAGATTCCAGTCTGCTGTTTTTTTTTAAATTATTTTGCTTTTCTTTTGTAACTAACTGCCATACAGCAGTAGTGCTCATTTCCCCACCACCCATGTTGTGTGTATGTGTGTAGGTGTTTGTAGGTGCAGAACACGTGAAAAACACCAGTTGTGTAAATACCTTTATTAATAGTCCACCACCAAGAAAAACACGTGTGTGGCCAAAAAAACAGTGACAAGCACAACCCCATAGGGGCGATGCCTACGTGGAAGAAAGAGTGAAGGGGAGGGAATCTCCTGGTTATATTTCTTTTACCTATCAGGGCTTATTGCTGCAGTGACTGTCAAGACCCCAGCCATTGTTTTGGATCTGGGATCTTTCATCTGACCCATGAAATAACTGCACAGAAGTCGGTATCCCATCCCCAAGTCACTCTTTATTTACAGTACACTGGCTGTGGTCAGCCAGCTCGGAGTCAGTCGCCTGAACTGAGGAGATTCTAACCTCCTGGTGTTCTTACTGAGTAAAAAAACATCCAGATGTGTAAATAATTTTATTGATAGTGCACCACCAGGAAAAACACCCATGTAACCAAAGAACCAGTAGCAAGCAGAGCCCCCTGGGGGCAATGCCTATGTGACCGAAAGGTGAAGAGCAGGGTAGGGATCAAATTAAAATAGAATTGGAGGGGGAAATAAAGCACCCCACACCCTGCAATGCCACCTCTCCCGAAAGACGTCAAGAGATTTGGTGGACACCGCGTGCTCCTTCTCCAGGGACACAGTCTCCTGATTATATTTATGACTGTTTTACAGTTTGCGATTTGTTGCAAGCTACTTTGGAAGCCTTAGATATGAGATGATCTTCAAAAACAAAAGTTTATGTACTAACTCCAAAGTTGAGAGACTGTTCTCCTGGTATGGACACTTATGTAAAAGGCAAAAGATTACAATTATACAGAATTTCATCTAAATGGTCAAACAATTTCTCTGCACTAATACATTATACTGATTTTTCTGAAATCATTTGAGATTTGATAGATCATTTGAAATTGAGATTTGAGCAAGATTATGGGAAGTTTCATTAAAGTAGATAATGAAAAGCTATTCTTACTAGTTGAAGGTGCAAAGACATGGAACACATATTTAAGGTTTTGGTAATGAATGCAGACCAAATCTGAATAAGGACTATTATATGCAGAGCTACCGCTGTTGGACTGGGCTGGACAAGGTCAGAAATCACACAATACCAGGTTAGAGTCCAACAGCTTTATTTGAAAACAAGCTTTTGGAGTCTCGCTTCTTCAGGCAAGACTCTGAAAGCTTGTGTTTTCAAATAAAACTGTTGGACTATAACCTGGTGGTGTCTGATTTTTGATATCATATGCAGATTCTGGGAATGATGTGGATCTAACTGCCTATATAGGAGATGGAAGTGGTGATGATTAATTGATATCAAAAGAAAATTGGACCTTTGGGAAATAAAATTGCAGGGCTGCAGTGATACAATGAGGGAAGAGGACTGACTAGATTCTGTAGAGACAGCATGCTTTGATTGGCTGAATGGCCTCCTGTAAGTAGTAGCCTCTGACTGTAGGCTCCATGCTAGAACCATACTTCGTGCCTTTTCTTTTACACATCATCAATTCTGTTTTTATTTGTGAAACATACCTGCTCTATCCATTAATTCATGCTTACAACAGAAGTTACTTACCATTCCGTTATTTTTCACTAATGTTATTAAGCATAATTATTGTATTTTGCATTATTAATGCATTATTAATTGTATTTTGAATGCTGGCTGGCAAATGCACTGTAATGCATTGTAAACGATAGTATGTTTGCATGTACTTTAAATCGCTAGCAGTTTTAAGAAAGTGTTTACCCAATTGACTCAATTTCCTCATTTAGATGTATCCTATTCAGAACTACTATAGTTTTTAATAATTTTTACTTTTATTCTACTCCAAAAAGTGTACCAATCAATTTTTTACATTATAAGGACAATTGATTTGTGATTTCTCATTTATTCGTCTTTGTAATGCTTAGGTTCATGGATAATATTCAGACTGAAATTTTGGAAACTGAATTCCTTTCATACTCCAAAGGCATGACCACAATTAGTGAAGAGGATTTTGCTCGTATTCTGCTACGTTATACAAATGTAGACAACACAAGCACTTATCTGGAGTCTGTTCGTCAAAGAATTCCTGAAGAGAAGGTAGTTGGTTTTGCATTTGTGATCTGTAGAATCTTTCCCCAGAAGGAAGGTAGAATCTTTGATTTTAAAATCAAATTTAATATTTTTCTGTATTTAATAGACAAAGTACTTTAAATCAGATTTCTCTCCTTAATAAAATCGAAAGGACTTTGCATTTGATAAGGGTGTGATTTAAATGCACAGAAATTAAGAGACAAACATGGTTGAAAAATTAGATCTCAAGAATGCTTTCAAAAATAAAGAAAGCACTGGAAATTACAAAGAATTTAAGATGACAGATTTAATCCAAGGTTAGGACAACTGATGCCACTGTCTCAAGTCATGGAACAACAGTTAGGAGGGACAGAGCTTATTATCATGTTATCATACAAGTTATCCTGAGGCCCAGCTTAATGCTCTGAACACAGGTTCAAATCCCATTCTCCCAACTGGCAGAATTTAAATTCCAATCTATACTTGAAAGCTAGTTCAGGTTTTGCTGGTGTAGACTGAATGATGTAGTAATCAAAATCACCTGCATTTTTGCCAGTTTTATCATTCTCGTATTCACATGATTGTGTCATTTTGGCCACCCTGTCACATTCCTGAATGGGATTCCCCTGGATCTTTTCACCTGATGACATCATTACATGTAAAGATCAGCACATACTGTGACACAGTTTATCGCCAACAATGGTGGCACCAGTCTGGAAGCCAGACCCATCTGCTCTGCTCAGTCCAGTTCCACCATGTCACAGACAGATGTTATATCATTGCTATTTTACCAGTTCTGAAGAAGGGTCACTGGACTTGAAATATTAACTCTGCTTTGTCTCCACACTTCTGCCAGACGCTACTGACATGGCTTGCTTTTTCCGTAACTGTGGTTTTCTGTCCATTATGGTTGGCAGGGCCCTCAACCGCATGTGACCTGTCATTTGTGCTTCCACTCTTGCCCCTTCCCATCACTTGCAACAGCGTGATCAGGTCCCCCTTGTCCTCACTTTTCATCCCACTAGCCTCTGCATTCAAAGGATCATTCTCTGCCATTTCCGACAACTCCAGCAAAATGCCATCACCAAACACATCTTCCCCTCACTCCCCCCTCTGCATTTCGCAGGGACCGTTCCCTCCGGGATACCCTCGCCCATTCCTCGACCACTAACACCACTGCCCCACCCTTCCCCCGACACCTTCCCATGTAACCACAGAGGGTGCAATACCTGCCCCTTCACCACCTTCCTGCTCACCTCCAAGGGCCTAAATAGTCAGGGTGGGAGATTTTAAAACTGGTAAATTCCATGTTTAGGCCATCGCTCTGTAGGCTTCCGAGGTGGAATATGAGGTGTTGGTGTCATTTGTGGCACTGGAGGAAGCCCAGGATGGACATGTCACTAGGGAGTGAGAAGGGGAGTTAAAATGGTTGGCGACCAGAAGGTGTTGTCATTTGTTGCGTGCAAAGCGCAGATGATGTACGAAATGGTCTCCAAGTCTACGCTTGGTCTCACTGATGTAGAGGCCACAATGGGAGCAGCGGATACAGTAGACCAAATTGGCGGATGTGCAGGTGAACTCCTGTCTGATGTGAAAGGTTTGCTTTGGACCTTGAATGGAGGTGATTTGGGAGGTATAGCACTTCCTGTGGTTGCAGGGAAAGGTGCTGGGTGTGGTGGCACACAAGATACACTGCAGCAGTCTAAGAAGATGGCTTCCCACCACCACCTTGAGGGCAATTAATGATGTGTAATGAATCGTGGCTTAGCCATTGATACCCAGTTTTAGTTACCAAAAATTTAAAAAGAAAGCTCTTCATTTGATTTTAGGATATTGCGAAATTTACATTAGACATGTAAAGCATCATTCTGAAATAGCCATCAATATTGAATCCAAGTAAATGTCTAGTACTTTGAAACAGTAAAATATAATACAACTTTATATCCTGAAGTTAGCAAGTTAAAGTATGACCTGATTGAGATCTTTCACTAATTAAGGGATTTGAATGAATGACTGCAGTATTTGAGGAATCCTGAATAATGGAACATAACAGTGGAATTTAACCAAAGATTGTATGAATGTGAAATGTATTGCCCAGAAGGCCATGGATCAATATTGAAAATTTTAAAGTAAGACATGTTTATTTGTGAAATAAAAGTGTGAATGTATGCAAAATTAATCATGGAATTAAGATTCGGAAAAAAAAAGTGTATTTAGGAATGATCGAGAAGTTAGGGGCTGAATGGTCTGTTCTTGTCTTCTGACCTTTTTGAATAATTATTAAAAAGTCTGGTAAAAGTGAAGTAAGACCAGTGCAATAATGTTAAAAATTAATCACAAAAATAGGTTTCAATTTCTTTTGCATGTGATAGATTGGCAAATGAAGCAGAATGATTCATTGATCATACCACCTTACTTTGGGGATTGGAATGTGTTAAACTGTTGAGGAGGAGTAGAGAAAATGTAAAGAAAGCAAAGCAGTGCAGTGATTGTGGGCATAGCATTTCCAGCTGTTCTACTGGGCAATTGTATTTTGAGCCATAGAGTCCCACATTATATAATCCTTTTCTTTGTACTCTTCTAGAGCCTTCTGTCCATTTATCAATTATCAGAAACAAGAGCAGAAATAAATATATTTTTAATCCATTTTGGTACTCTGATGCAGTCCTTATACTCTGAAAATCTCATGTTACAAAAACACATTTCATCACTCTCTAAAACAGAATAACCTAAACATTGTCCTTAAAAACCACTTTTAAAATCAAATCATTGATTTAATTGGCCAGTCATTAAGTTTATTGATGTCAGATGCTTATCATTAGGTGAAGAGAGATTTTAAAAGAATTCAAACCACTGAGAATAGTAGAGTGTTATTGTTCATCACTTCATTTGTTGATAACAGATGTCTGTTATCAGTGGTGTATCTGCGCAATAGAAAAATCTTGTGGTAAGTAATTGCATCAATGCAAATCAATAGAGCTGGTGTTACAAGTAAGCCTTCAGGTGTGGGATGTTTTGGATATATTTCTTCTGTTTTTGTTTATAGAAGGATCAGCTTAATCTTTCTTTGAAAACTTGCAAACATTCTATCTGCTTTAAATTGCTACATGTTAGCAGCTTTGAAAGTTAAATTTGTGAAACCAGAAAAATCTGTTTATTTTGCATACTAGTTGCATTGCCTAACTATGTAGCCTCATCTTAGAAAATGTAGCACTATTAGAATTCTGTTCTTTTTGTAGTAAACTACTTAAATTTGATTTGAATTGAGTTTTTGTACTTAATGTGGCATACAGTATTTTAAATTTTTATTTATATGTTATTTCATTTTGATATTGCGAACATCTGACGCATGACATCAATGTATAATATGGAACCAAGTTCTGATAGCAATCAATTTCCAATAACAGAATCAAAGTTGTCTCTTTAATAGAATCATTTTACTTCTCTTGTAGATGATTTCTTCACCCCTCAAAAATTAGTTTTCCCTTTCCAACTATGTTTCATAGTGTCTATTTTTCTGTGGCTTGTGTATACTCAGAAGTCTTACCAATTAAATACTGCTCACACACACCTAGATGCCTAAGAATGTCTTCCCTTCCCATTTTCCCCACCCCCAAGAGCATTACTTTCTTTCACCAACACTCAGATCATAGTGTCACTAAGGTATGCAATGCCAGAATTGAAATAAGTGGAAGTAACCTGAATTTCTATAATTATGTACAATTAATTAACTACAGTCAGATTAAGAACCCATTATATTATCACTTGTCCAAATTGATATCTATTGCAATAATGAAACCTGAAGATTGGCCACTATGTTGATCAAAATTTATCAGAAACTGTTCATATTAAAACAGAAAATTTGCTCTGCGTTTTCCGTTCCCAATTTTCATAAATCATTATCTCATTTCTGATTTTTTTGAATTTGCTTATCCATTTTCTTTTTTGCAATTATGTAATATTACCTCACATTTATTAGGAAATAACTGTCAGTTTAGTTCATTAATAGTTCTTTAATCGCCGATTAAAAAGATTGACAGTTTAAGACCTATTCTAGGACTTTATTCAGGCTGACTATTCGTTGCAGTAATACGTGTGTTTTAGAGGTGTAATCTTTGAGATGAGACAGTAAACTGACCTTTGTTCAGATGGGCATAAAGAATAAAGAGTTTCATTGCACAGTTTCAAACAAGAGCTGGGAGTTTGCCTTGAACCCTAGGCAATATTCATCCTCCAGTAGGCAGCACAAAACAACGCATTAACTGTGTTTGAGTTCTCCTGTTTCTGGACCTAGTTGACAAGTGCACCTACAAATTTGCAGAGACTACAGGCTGCTTTGGCAGATTCATAGATATTGCAGGGGAAGTCCCCACCCTCCCACTTCTTTTCTGAGGATAGATTGTCATGATGTGATTCCCACAAGTTATAGAGTTGTACAGAAACAGACCCTTCAGTCCAACTTGTCCACGCTGACCAGGTATCCTAAATAAATCTAGTGCCATTTGCCAGAATTTGGCCCATATCCCTGTAAACCCTTCCTATTCATGTACCCACCTCCTCTGGAATGCCTTCCATACACACAGCACCCACTGCGTGAAAAATTTACCCCTCAAGTCCTTTTTAAATTTTTCCCCTCTCACCTTTAAACCTATTACTTCAAGTTTTGGAACCCCCATCCTAGAAAAAAGGCCTTGGCTATTTGCCCTATCCGTACCTCTCTGGTTTTAAAAAAACCTCTGTAAGGTCAATCCTCAGCCCCTGACGCTGACGCTCCAGGGAAAACAGCCCCAGCCTCTTCCTACAAATCAATCCCTCCAATCCTGGCAACCTCCTTTCAAATTTAACAACATCTTTCCTATAGCAAGGAGACCAGAATTGAACACTGTATTCTAAAAAGAGCCTCACAAATGTCCTGTATGGCCGCGACATGGTGTCCAACTCTTATACTCAATGCACTGACCAATGAAGGCAACTGTGCCAAATGTTGTCTTCACCACCCGGTGTACCCGCGACTCCACTTTCAAGGAAATATGCACCTGCACCCCTTGGTCTCTTTTTTCTGCAACACTCCCCAGGACCCTACCATTAACTGTATAAGTCCTGGTTTGCCTTACCAAAATGCAATACCTCACATTTAACTAAATTAAATTTCGTCTGCCACTCCTTGGCCTATTGGCCCATCTGATCAAAACTGTACTCTGAGATAACCTTCTTCACTGTCCACAACACCACCAATTTTGGTGTCATCTGCAAACTTACTAACCATACCTATCTTCACAACCAAATCATTTATATAAATGATGAAAAGTGGTAGATCCAGCACCAATCCTTGCAGCATTCTGCTGGTCGCAGGCCTCCAACCCAAAAAACCACCCTGTACTATCACCCTTGGTCTTTTACCTTCCAGCTAATTTTGTATCCAGTTGGCTAGCTCCCCATGGAATCCATGAGATCCAATGTTGCTAACCAATCTACCATGAGAAACCCAAAGTCAGCAGGGCCCATTTCTGCTGGAGCAATTGTATAATCCTGCAGTGTGGACATTTCAAATCTGTGGAAATGCCCCTAAAGGGTAGATAGGATCTGTAGAACTGTAAAGCTGTTGGGTTATTTAAATAGAAAGCCTGTTAATAATTGAATAGAAAACTGTCTGCCTGAATTTAAGAGTTGAAAAAAACTCTAGTAGTTTCAATTGATGTTTGTTGCCATAACCCTAAGTACTATCATGCATATGAATTGGTTGCATTCCATAACCTATAATTATAACAGTGGGGAGGTTATAAAGTCATAGTTTGAAAGTTCAGATAGGTTGTTAAAGGATTAGTTGTGTTTGATGTGAGGTTATGAATAGAAATATTTCATAAAGGGCTTGAGCACCCAAGTGGACTTAAATATATTAATTGGGATTTCATGAATGAGAAAGGTTTTTGTATTTCATGAACTTTCTCCAATAAATAACATGGCTTCTGATATTTGCCTCTGGTGGATAACAAGGTGTGGAGCTGGATGAACACAGCAGGCTAGGCAGCATCAGAGGAGCAGGAAAGCTGACGTTTCAGGTCTAGACCCTTCTTCTTACTATCTCTGCCTCTGATGGATATTGGATAAGTTGACACGGAGGATGTAAGAGCAATTGGTGCAGAGCTGGCTATGCGTTGACACATGATCTATAGATATATGGAGTATCATGAGTAGGGACTAAGTTCACCTTCCAGCTGTAAGGGGCAGTGTGGATGGGTGGGGAGTCATAAGTTGGTTCATTTTATGTGGGGATTATATGTGTGGGAAGCATGTGTTGGCGTGGAAGTAGAATATATTGGGAAGGGTTGGGACATAAGTTGACATGTGGACTTGTGGGGAATTGAGGACTAGAGGGCCTAATACTGAATAGAGTAATGGGACGAAGTCCCAGAGAACCAAGGACCTCTCTAGGCCATCTTCAATCTATGTTCAAATGCACCTGATCCAACTGTCATTTCTGCCTTAAACTTCTCTCAACCTCTCCAAAGCCAGCACATCCTTCTTTAGATGTGGGGCCCAAAACACCCCAAAATATTCTGATGTGACCAGTGCATGATACAGCCTCAGCAGTACATCCCTGCTGTTGTATTCTAGCATTCTCAAGATTGAGATTGAGGTGTAAATCCAGTTCAACACTCTTCTACGCCTATGCAAACAAACTAATTTTTTCTTAAGTCTTGGCTGTCAGGCTGGCTTGAAGTTTGAAGTGCTGAAATGGTCAATAAAGTACTTCTGAAATATAGTCACAATTGTAAAGTAGGCAAATGTGTTTATCAATTTGCTTACAAGATCCCAAACATTAATACTATAATATTAGACTAGATTATGTACATTGTGTAAGATGGAGACCGAGAAATTGGTCTATTTTATTAAGTAGTATCATTAGTGTAACCTTCTCACCTTTTGAATTTTTTTACGTTTAACTCCCTTCCTGAGAAGGAGGCAAAGTCATAGATTATTTTTAGGGCAGATGTAGATATATTCATGATGAAAGTCTTCATAGTCCTAGAGGACCATCAGGCTGCCCTCTTGTTAGAGAGATAAGACTAATGATGAGTTTAATCTGAGGGTCACCACGCCTCAGGCAAGAGAGGATGAGATGGTTGAATCTTCAGGGCGACCTTAGTTGGTATGGAAATCGAACCAGCGCTGTTGGCATCACTCCGGATCTCAAACCAGCCATTTGGCCAACTGAGATTACCAGCCTCTATTCTTGATTAAGAAGAGAGTCAAAAGTATCCATAGTGGGCAGGAATGTAGAGTTGAGGCCACAATTCGATTAACCATGATCTTATTGAATGGCAGAGCGGGCTTAAAGGGGTGAATGGCCTATTCCTGCTCTTAATTCGTGTCTTCATCTATCAACTTTAAAGAACTAATGGAGCCACAATTTAATGTCTCATCAAAAAAGTGATTTATTTTTGGTGAACAAACTCAATAGGCTGAAGGGCCTCTTTGCTGTATGATTCTCGAACAGTACAGCACTCCCTTAGCTATGGCTACGTGCTCAGCCCCCTAGAGTGGGATTTTAATTCTAATTCCGAGGTAAGAGGGCAAACACTGAACCAATTCTGACTAGATGTTCCTACAGGCTTCAGTACCTCGATATCTGGGTCAGGTGTGGGTCCGTAGTCCACACCAGCAGCTATCCTGATCTTGCAGTAGTCCTGTTAGAATCCCCTAACAGGCCATTTCCAGAAGATGGCAAATAGGTTGATTAATGATGAGAGCCCATTTAGAGATCCAGTAACTTTAGATCTTCAGCAATCTTGCCTGGAGAGGCAAGTGCTGCTGAGATAGACTAAAACATATCAAAACGGATTAACATTTAATTAGAGACAAAGCTTTTCAGTCCCTTAAACAGAGCAAAAACGCATTAGGTTTATGATTTAGATTGTATTTTTCTGCCACGGCATGAATCCACCAGCTCCAATGATCCCTCAGCCTGCTGCAGAATGGCTGCCTCTATGGAGATGGCAGTGTCCTCATTTGCAGTAGGCCAGCTTGCCAGTGGCAAAAGACTTGTACATCTGCAAAATTAGATCTAGTTGGATCCATAATCAACTCGGTTGGCTGTCAGCCTCCACAGTTTGCGTAGATGATCTAGATCCCCAACAAAAGGAAATTTCCCTGAGGGTGGGAACATATTGGGCACCCACTCCCATGCAGCTCCCCTCTATTTTCCCAGCAACATTGCCTCTAAGCTTGCCATTGCAGGCCTGGGAAAGTTCAATTTGAGTTTATTAGTATTCTTCAAAAACCAGGAACAAGTTGACTGCCTATTCCTCAACTGAAGATGATGCTTCATTTAAAGAAATCTACAGGTGTTAAAATGCATGTTTGTTTTAAAATTTAGTAAAATGTTGCCCCTGAAGGCACTACAATAGTTTTTAAACATTCATGTGGAAGAAATAATATGATGTGGAATACAGGAATGAAACTTTATTGATATAAAAGTTAGTAAGCCATTGTTCTGCTCACAATAATACTTGGTCATATCAAAAATACTGGATGAAGACATTGTCTATGATTTCTTCCATTTACTTAGGTTTTGTAGTGTAATATTTTTTGTTTCCATTTTCTATGAGAAAGGTAAGTTGCTTTTCTTGGGATCTAGTTACTTTTCTTGCCTTCGGAAGGTAAATAGGCAGTAGGTGAAGTTGTGCAATGTTCTAAAGGTTAAAATTTTCAGACAGACATGAGCAAATCTTTTACTTAGTGTCAAAAGTCAAAAGATCTGCCTTAGGCGGCAATGTTTACAGACACTAAAAGTTGCCTGAATGCTGTAAGTAAACAATTAGTACTTGGCACTCATTAAAGAGTGCTTTTTTTTCCAAAACTTTATTTCAGCTTCATTGTGTTGAAAAGAGCAGGTGAAAGAATCTTTGACCTAATCTGTGGAAAGTTTGCTGACCTTCAAAGATTTTTCGCTCTGAGTGATCATCAAGTCTAGTATTAACCTTCTATTGCTAGGTCATATCACACATGAAGTGTTAGTTATGGAACCCCACAACAATAAATCAAATGTAGTGCCCAATCAGTTACAATTATAGGTCTCTTAATTGAAATCTATATTCTACTTGAGTTGCAGAATGTTTCACTTGATACTTATATATTGTTTACATTTTAGGGCATCACTTTTGATGAATTCAGATCCTTCTTTCAATTCCTGAATAACTTGGAGGACTTTGCCATTGCAATGCAGATGTATAATTTTGCAAATCGATCAATTGGGCAAGGTGAGCGAAGTTGTATAATGCTACTGTATTCATTTCTAAGTGTTTTCATAAGGACAAATTCATTGGAAAATTATTTTTGCTCATGACCTTATTTCAGCTATGTGCTTTGATTAGCAAAGTAGGCTTTACTCAAAGTCTGCTTTGCATATTTACTTACTTATTTTGGGTTATTAGCATAAATGCGCGTTATACCTAGTCAGTTTTAATGCCTTTTAGCTGAGCTTTACAGGTTCCATTGATATTGTAAGCATTTGTTTAATTTGCCTAGTTTTGTTCCTCAGATTGTTACATCATAAAATATTTTGATCCCATTTTTAGCTAGTTTTCGGCTCTATTTTCAATGCTAGTTCTGCTAAGTCAAATTTGTAGATTTTACCATTTTAATCTCTCTGACAGATATTTTTCACATAATACATGGACTAAATTTTGTTTTATAGTTTTCTTAAGGTTATCTGGTTCACGTCCTGAATGCGGTAGATGGAGGGTGAAACAGTCATGAAGAGAATGATGGTCTGATGTGAATGTAAAGCATCACTTGACTGACTCCACAGTAATATAAGATTTGGCAGTGAATTGTGAGGAAATAAGTATCTTCATGTAAAAGTAGAGCTTCCAAGGCTAATTTTTAGTTTAAAAAATAAGGCATCAATTCTTACTCAAGTAATATTTTAGAGGTTGAAATTCATCATTTCCCTTCACAATGCTATTGCAGAGTTGTCGCACCAGAGACTGCTCATGCTACCTATCCTCCTGTCAAACCCCACAGCCAGAATTAGTGGAAAGGAGTCAAAAAGTATTTTTGTTTATTAAATAATAACTTTCAAGGACAGAGACATTAATTTCTGCATACTAAATTTATCAATTTCATCAATAGCAAAAGCCATATATACTTAGACAATTTCATTCACTTTTTTTCACAGTATAGAAGAGAATATTAGTGGCAGAGCTTTTACTGAACTTGTATTAAAATCCATATCATATAGAATCCCTACTGTGTGGGGACAGACCATTCAGCAGAACAAGTCCACACCGACTCTCTGAAGAGCATCCCACTCACGCGCCCCCCGCCATCCCTGCAGTTTCCATGGCTAATCCACCTAACCTACATCCTTGGATACTATGGGCAATTAGCTTGGCCAATCCACCTAGCCTGCACATCTTTGGACTGTGGGAGGAAACTAGAGCACCTAGAGGAAACCCACGCAACAACGGGGAGAAGTGCAAACTCCACATAGACAATCGCCCAAGGCTGGAATTGAACCTGGGTTCCTGGCACTGTGAACTACCAAGCCACCTCAAATAATCACCCTCCTTACCTTCAGAATCAAGTAATTGATCCCAATCTCCTCCTTGAGTGGCAACGTAATGTGGATCATCAACCTCATCATCTTCAGCAGTTATGTTGTAATCATCCATATCTTTCCGCAAACAAATATCATCAGGTGCATTGGGTATCCCACATTTCTTGAATGATTTGACAATAGTTGCTGCTCATTTTTGCTCACCTTTGGCTGGCTGACATGCCAAAAATCATGGAGACTCTTCCCCTTTAACAAATATAGGCCAATCTATTTTCATTATTTTGCTAATATTTGATATATACTGCTGAAATCCGATAGACCTATCATCGAATTCTGGTAGACGACGGTGTGATACTTTGGTTTTCTGTTGCAGTGTGAAATTGTTTCTCTTCATAAATCTGGTGGATAATTGGGACTGGTTTTGAAATCCAGCTTTCTTGTTTATTTCTGGGCAAAGATTCAGCTGATGTACAAGAAAAAAAGTCTATTCTGGCAATTTTTAAAAATGTGTTTTGCAACTTTGTTTTCTAATATCGACCACCTGTTAGGTATTTTTTCTGTTTGAGCATTTATTCTTGGGCATCAGTCAAGGCTGTGCAGAGAGCTTTCTCTGATCACTAACATTCTTTTCTGATATCTTGAACTTTCTAGCTGCCATACAATTAGTCTACTATGTAATTTTAATACCTTTAAGTTTGAACTGGGCTGTGCATTTCCTGTTCTTTGTCATACCATGTTGCAGATTGGAGGGTAGGTGCTTGCATCAGTGAGGTGGTAGGCTTGACATCATGTGTTGGCATATGAAGACACAAGACTTGAAGAGCAACCTTCATTGGTGCCCTATTTAATAATTCTATTAAGTAGATTTGAACCAGGGCAAGTTTGACTTCTGTGGTGTGCAGGTGATAAGTGCAAAAGCTTTGGAGTTAAGGGTTAGGATTCATCTCATGCATGAGATATATAAAAAATTATGAAAAATCATTTTTGGCCAAACGATAGGCATCAAAACTTACATATTTTCAACCATTATTTGAGTTTATATGGTATTAGATAGTAGATTGTCGTAGACATATATGAAAAATACTTGTGTATTTAGAAAATTGTCACTAACTAAAACAAAAAAGCAAGCTGTATCACTTTCCAAAGGGTTACTCATTGACTAAATCTTTGAATTGAAGTCATTCTTAATACTTTAAATCACAGACATCACTTTTTCGATAAATCATTTACTCATTCAAGTCATGTTTTTGTAGATGTGGTGTATACAATATAACTTTTGAAAAGGTTGCCTTTCTAGAGTCCATATAATTCTGCAAGTTAGCTTTTATTGTTTTAAGTGTATTTCGGTAGAGAAGACATTATTAAAATTCTTGTTTCTAACTTGATCAAAAAGTGTAAAAAGGTTCTCAACTTTAAGCTTTTCTGAATTGCAATTTACAATCTCACTTTTAATGCTTTTGCATGTTTATCCAGATGAGTTCAAGCGTGCTGTATATGTGGCTACAGGCCTGAAGCTTTCTTCACACTTGGTAAATACAGTCTTCAAAATCTTTGATGTGGACAAAGATGATCAACTAAGTTACAAAGAATTCATTGGTGTTATGAAAGATCGACTGCACAGAGGATTTAGGGTAAGCACATATAGTTTTATAAAAGATTAATGGCAGATTGCTTTGAAAGAATATTTGCTTATCTTTACAACTTAATAGGTGATAATTACCTTAGAATCTTGCAATCTAAAAACACATATTACATCTTTAATGCATTTGAAAACAACTAGAATGCCAAGCACGTGTAGCTGAAGTAAACAGTAGCACTCTTGGATTAGCCCAGTGTTATCACAGACCACTATTTAATGTTTAAACTTCCAAGGATACCTTTATAAAATTTAGTCACAGTAAATAACTATGTTGTTTTTAAATCTTTCGTCCATTGAAAGCAGGGCCTATTTAAATGGGCAGTCCACCATGAACAGATGCAAAGTAACTTTTAGAATTTGTTTAGTACACTATTTGCTTTGACAATTTTTAAAATGCTTCATAAATTTGCACATTATCACATTGCAGAAGTGGTATTCATATTATTTCAATTTAAGGAGATTTCCTGTGCTCATTTTGGTAGAATACTAACTATTATACCAAATATTTTGTGCTGCTTCTAAGATTTATATAAGCAAAATTATTTAAAATCATTGTTTGTACTTTGTTATAGATGAATTAAGACCACTATGCAGAATTCTGCAACCTTGAATTTCCAGCAATTATTTTGGGACTAGCATATAATAGAAACTTGCGCAAGTAATGCGGTACCTACATAGTTACAGATTGTACTTACATATGAGTCTAGCATCAAGTGTTGCATTAGAGGATGTCTAAGCAGAGTAAACAGAAAAGCAATTCTTGGCACAAAAGCAGCCATGTCATCCAATAAAACCTGCTTGCTGGCACTCAGTTTAGGTTTTGCCAGGGCCACTTAAGTCCTGATGAAGCAGCTCTTTGCAGTGTTGCGGCCATGTATATCTAGTAACTCCAATTTATTGGGGCTTTGTGTAATTTTTAACATATTATTGTGCTCCAGAGAGGATATTAAGTTGGTCCCTCCAATGTATCTGTATGTTTGAGCATCATATCAGTGGTGCAGTTAGTGATCAAAATCTCTCGGATTGTTAATGACACTAGGTGTAATAGTTTCTGCTTCGTATTGTGTGGTCAAGTTAATAGTAGTCAGATGGAGACGCACACTGGTCCAAAATTTGCAATTGTAATTGTTAGCAGAACTGTTGGCATCTCCCACCATTACTTGATGAAATTGACAGCAACATCTGATGTTCATTGATACGGAATTAAATAGGGAAATGTGGAAGTTGATGTCATTGATGCCCTTGTTCACCGGCTGTGCTGTTGCGGTTTTTGGAGATGGAATCAAAACAAAATGAGTTCTTTTAGTTACACTTGTGCAAAATGATTTTATGAACTATTAAGCATGACTTCATAAAATATAAACTTGGACACTTTCCAGAGCCACAAAAAGAATTTGGGTGGTGAAATGATTGATTCCTTGCACATGGAACTATGAGCACATTGAGCTAGTTTTCATATCTGGATAAGTTGTGATGAAGTAATTAAAACTTCTTTTCCTTTGGTGGTGGCTTCATATCTCCAACTAATTAAAAGTACTGCTGTATCCTCTTTAATTACAAATTTTCAAACCAGCGCAATGCATGTAAAGCTCTATTTAATGAAGATGATATGTGGATGAATGATATCTGCAGTCTATTTTCAGACAATGTGCCTAACTATCAGAAACTATTTATGAGGACAATCAAAAGAGATGCTTTGGACACATGACAGACACAAGGTTTCTGATTAGGGTTTTAATAAGGTATATGCTGGTCAGGCAGGCAGAAACATCTATGTCAACAGAAAAAAAGAGCGCTACCAAAAACATCTCCTCTGACGCCACATCTAGACAGAGACCCAAGTTGAAACATAAATAAAAACCGAAAGAACTGCGGATGCTGTAAATCAGGAACAAAATTAGAAGTTGCTGGAAAAGCTCAGCAGGTCTGGCAACACCTGTGAAGGAAAATCAGAATTAATGTTTTGGATCCAGTGACCCTTCTTCAGACCTGAGTTGAACTTTCTACCTGACGAATTGTAGCTTAAGTGGCGTATACTAAGATAATTCTGTTACAGCAAATATATAACAGCAAATCCATTCTTCTAAATTACTGGAGCTTTACTTCAGTGGCCAAGAAAGACTACAGATCTGCATTGTTTTAAGCCTTCACCAGAGGGAAAAGCAAATGTAACAAAGCAATATTGAAATCATAAGAAATAACTATGTGGCTGCTTCTATCAATGTAATCCTTTCCTGAGTGTGTATATAGTGGTATATATTTGGCTGTTGAATAATAAATATTTATTTTCTTAGAAAAACATGTCATCTGCTTATTACTGACAATTAAAGCATTTGGAGTTAAAACATTTTTTTTTAAATATGCTTTTAGTCAAGAGGTATGTGAAGGAAGAAAAGATGTGTGCCTATCATCCCTTCCACTGTTCCTAACATTTAACATGAATTTCAACTTTTTATGTGCTATTTTCTGAGAACATTGTTCCTAGATCATACAGATGCATCAGATTGAAAGTTGCATTTGAATTGTGAAATTAGTGACCGCTAAACTTTTCCAGCAGTTTTCTTCAAAGTCAGTGGAAAGTGCTGTCCCTTGACCACAAAATTCGAGCCAATATCTCCAATCATGGATGTCAAATTAATGAGCTCTTGTAGGAGATACTGTTGCAAACAATATTCATAAGCCCAAAAATGGTTAAAAATAATAGCCTGGTGATAGTAGTCTCTGTTATTTTTCACAGCAACCTCAAGCAAGGACAGATGTGTATCGATTGTGAAAATTGATTTGCTGTTAGAGATGCACTGTGTCACCGTTAGCTTCACAAAAGTGACAGTTCTCAGTTTAATTGCATTTGGCAGTATGAGGTTCCTGCCTTTGCACTATAGATAAGCAATAAACTCATCTCAAAGTCAAGAGAAATAATTTCAGTATCATTTTAACACGGTGATAAGTATTAATTAATATCAGCCAACCCATCTGAACAAGGGAGCCTCCAAAATGTCCAACTTCTTCCTTAACCGAGGATTCCCCAGCACCATTGTTGACAGGGCCCTCAACCTGGTCTGACCCATCATCCACAGTTCCGCCCTCACCCCTTCTCTTCCCTCCCACAACAGCAATAGGGTTCCCCTTGTCCTTATCTACCATCCCACCAGCATCCACAGCCAAAAGATCATCAGACGCCATTTCCACCAAGTCCAGCGAGATGCCACCACCAGATATGCATTCCCCTCCCCCTGTCTGCCTTCCGCACGGACCGTTCCCCCTGGGACACTCTGGTCCAATCTTCTTTCACTCCCTAACCCCCGCCCCCAAAGCCCCATGGCACCTTCCCCTGCAACCAGTGAAGGTGCAACACCTGCCCATTTATCTCCTCTGTCCCCAGTATCCAAGGGCCCAAATATACTTCCAGGTGAAGCAGCACTTCACCTGCATTTCACAGAATCTACTGTACTGCATTAGCTGCTCACAATGTAGTCTGCTCTACGTTGGGGAAATGAAGTGTAGACTGGGTGACCACTTCGCAGAACATCTACATTCTGCTCGCAAAAAAGACCCTGACCTTCCAGTTGCCTACCACTTTTTAACACACCACACCACCCTGTTCCCTGTCCAGCATCTCTGTCTCAGGCTTGCTGCAGAGTTCCAGCGAAGCTCAATGCAAGCTGGAAGAACAACACCTCATTTTCCGCTTGGGGACCCTGCACCCCTCCAGACTCCATATCGAGTTCAATAATTTTAGGGCCTAGACTGTCCCATGTCCTAACCCCATACCCCACACATCAGGCCATGTTATCTCATAGCCTGCCATTACATACTACCTATTGTTAGTCACTAACAGTCCCCGTTAACAGCTATTCACCCTCCTAGCCAGTTCGTCATTAACTCCTTTGTCTATCCAACTGCTCTTCTCTCTCTTCGGGCTCTATCCTTTATCTTATTGCTAACTCCCTACCCCATCCCCCTCCCTAGTTTCTGCAAATAAACCAACATTTTCCCAGCTACCATCAGTTCTGAGGAGGGGTCACCAAACCTGAAACATTAACTCTGATTATTTTTCTTCACAGATGCTGCCAGACATGGTTGATGTTGTATAAGCTCTGAAAATGTTAATGTTGAAACTGCATTAAGTTCCATCCAGTCTGATGATGTCACATAGTCCTGGGTGAAGAACTGGAGGAGTCTAGCAGGAAACTCCATCTCTGGTTCCTGTTGATCAGTGTAATTAGCCTATGTAACTGGTCATTATTTCTATCATACAATAAACTATGACTTGTTGTTAACACAAGTGCTACTTCTCATTATGACTCAGTAGTTGTTCATCCTCTACCATTGCTAGTAAGATGGGCCCTTAGACTTTGAAAGGAGATTTTAGTAGTTGGCACCGCAACATGTGACAGGTAAATCTTTCTATTGCAGACACTGTTCATTGACCAGTTACAAGATTGTTTTGACTAGCAGATAGCAAGGACTGCAGATGCTGGAAGTCAGAGTTGATAAAATGTGGAGCTGGAAGAGCACAGCAGGTCAGACAGCATCTGGGGAGCAGTAAAGTCGACTGAAGGGTCCTGACCCGAAACATCGACTTTCCTGCTCTTCAGATGCTGTCTAACCTGCTGTGCTTCTCCAGCTCCACGTTTTATCGACAGCATTTTTTGGGCTGAGTATTACTGAAAATGAGTGCAATTTCAGTAAACTTTGCTGCCATCTATTGGGTTATACTCGTATTAAAATGTCTGTCAAAGTTAAAACAAGAATTTAATAAAACAGAATTTTAATAGCTTATACATTCTTGGGTTTGTTGCATTTGGGAAAGAATTCCCAAAATCATGGTGGCTCAGTGGTTAGCACTGCTGCCTCACAGGGTCAGGGACCAGAATTCCTGGGTTCAATTCCAGCCTCGAGTGACTGGCTGTATGGAGTTGTGCACATTCTCCTTGTGTCAGCGTGGGCTTCCTCTGGGTGCTCCCATTTCCTCCCACATTCCAAAGATGT